GTGGAGGTGCAGGACAACTCCATGCAGGTTCCGAGCAGCTGCACCAGGAAGCACCAGCCATGGGGAGGGGCCACTTTCCCCCCACGCTCAGCAACAGTTTGTCCTGCACTGCCATTGCTCAGCCCAGATGGGCAAGCTCGGGGTGTGTGGGGTTGGGGCTGTGTGTGCTGGTGCCCACCTGTACTGCAGGGCCGGGGTGGTGGGGACTGGGAGTGAGCGGGCACATGGGAGCCTGGGCCCCACGCTCCTGCTGCCCCACTCTGGGCCCTACCAGCAATGGCCCCAGGACACCGGCGCGGACCCCACGCTCCTGCACGCTGACTCGTGTCCCCCCCACTGCAACCTCCGCCACTGCTGTCCCCACTTTCCTGACTGCCCGCCAGCCACTCTGCACTGCTCAGCTCTGAGTCCAGTGGCTCCCAGCTGCATGACCAGACTGCTGGCCTCAGCAGGAGCTGGCCCAGCCCCGAGGACTGGGGCGATTGCCCACAGTCCTTCCCTGCCTCCCTGCCCCCACCCCTTACCTAAATTTCCAGCTCTGACACAGGGAGGCATGAACAGCCCCACGGTCTCAGGCCAGATGCCTCTGTTAGGTAGGGGCTTCCAGCTGGGTGGGGCAGGGCTGGCCGGGCCTTGCTGTTGCAGGATCCTGCCGTGTCTTCCCCTGGCTCCTACTGCCCTTGGCTCCTGTCATTTTTGACAGGCAGCCAGGGCCAGATAAATATTAATTTTCTAAATTTTTTAGGGGTCCCGTGGGCCAGATACAGGGGCCTGGCAGGCTATATTTATCCCACCCATGCTGTAAAGCCATGAGAAAGAAGCTGCTTATGTGAGTTTGCAACACTTCAGCAATAAGATGTTCTGTACCAGGGGCTGTGCAGTGCCTGGGCCCAAATTGGGGGCTGGGCATGAACGGGTTCCCAGGGACCATGGTATGTGGGACAGGCAGGCCTGGGCCCAGACAGACACTGGCTGACCCTAGCATCCCTGCTCGCTTTCCTGGACCAGTGGGCTGCTGGGTGCTGGCTGCAGGCAGCCTGCCTCCCCCACCCTGTTCCCAGGGTAGAACAGGACAGGCTCCTGGCAGCACATGCTGCCATGGCTCCAGATCCCACTGCCTCCTCCCCTCCTCCTGCAGGCCAACTGCTGTCCTATACTGCCACCCAGCCAATGGTGCCCAGAGTCGGGGGCCACAGGACTCCCAGATGACGGGGATAAGGAGCTGCCTGTCCCTCCACAGGGGTCTTCCTGGGGATGGTTCCCTGGGGCCAGCCCCCCCATGCTGCCACTGCACCCCAAGCATGCCCCTGCTGTGCATGCTCTGGTCAGTGCATGAGGCATTTTTGCATGGAACGACAGGTGCCCAACCCACTACTCCCTGCTGCTGATAGCCATGGTGCCCTGGGCACACCTGCACACCTGGTTATGGGACTGTGAGCTATGATGGCACGGGGGTAAACCCAAGCTGCCCTGCAACCCTCCACTGTCAAAGACGGCATGGCTACTTGCATCGATATGTTCCTTGGCATGTGAGAGGCCTGGGCCCACCTAGCTGCGGGGGCACATGCCACCCAATAAAGATTTACACTGTCTCCCGCCTCCCTGTGTGCTATGTGGAGGGACTCTGGGGACAGGGGAGCCCTTCCCCAGTATGGGCCTTAACACTTGGCTGGGGCTGGCATGGCTCTGCATGGTCATGGCTGTCAGAGACAGCGTGCAGTTCCAGGTGGTGTCCTTGAACAGCAGGATGCAGCAGGTGGGACTGACAGCCATGCAGCAGAGGCAGTGCACCACAGCACCTGCAAGTTCAGGGCAGGCTGCTGGTGTAGGCTGCGGGCAGGTGGAGGTGGCCCTGCTGGCCAGAAGATGCTTGCAGTTGGGCCTGGCAGCAGCTTGCAGCAGCCTGTAGGCCTAGATGGTGCAGGCCTGGCAGGTGCGTGGCACTGTGGTGCCAGGTACCGGTGCTGGGGTGCAATCAGGCTGATGAGGCTAGCTCGTGGCCTGCCCAGGGGGACACCAGGCCTGGAGTCATCTCAGGCTGCCTGCTTGTGTGCCCCAGGGTTCAAAATGCCTGCAGGCTTTTAAAGGCCTGAGGCAGGGGTTGCTATAGAACAGCCCAGCCCTGGAGCAGGAAAGGCTACAAACCGGGAGCCCTGGGGCTAGCCTCAGGCTGGCCTTCTAGTGGCAGGGCTGACCCAGGAGCAAATTTGCTCCTGGGTCATGTTCTACATGTGCATTACTGCACGGTAACTTATTGTGAATAAATTTGATACCTGCATTTGCAAATTATGAAAAGACATTTTTAACAAATGACATCTGCAAGTGTATATAACATTTGTTCTGTATGTGGCTGCTGTTTTAGCTTTGCTAAATGAAAAAGAAATCTAATAAAAAAGAGAGGGAAAACAATGCACCACGAGAGTGATAATTTTCATTGTAAATCAAATATTTGAATCAATCTAAATGGGTATTATGTCATTGATTTTCTAGAACAGGCCATCATGCTTGCATGCTAAGAGGGAGGATCATTTATGAAGCTGTCATTTAAGGGACAGACCTTAATATTTATCTATAAAAGGAAGAATAACATATTAGTTTGCAGAGAGACATGCAGTTTTTTATTCTATTGTGTATATGAAAATGTTTATATGTCTTGCTGTCAGGAGTGCAAGCCTAACAAGCTAATTATATGCTGTGTGCTTTTCTTTTTCAAGAAACCATTTCCCTATAGTCTTTTGCTGCAGAAACAAACTGGCTAGGTCACAGGCAAGGATGCTTTTATTGGGCTTAGCAATCAAGCAAGGGTGCAATGTTAATATGTGATTTAAAATTATCTCTGATAATAGATGGAGCTGGTACCATCATCTGTTGTTAAAACTGCTAGACATTGGCTCTCATAAAGACCCTATATCATTTCCTTGCGACTTTGGGCTGAAGTTTTTGATGCTATGTGTCTGCCTCAGGCTGTAATTTGGGGGGGGAATTTCAGCAGAGAATTGAGCCATTTTGGGGAATCCGATTAAAAAAAAGTATATAATCATTTAATCAGGAAGGCCTAGTGTCCCTGCTCTTTTCTGCAGCAAATGAGATAACTTCCATGCATAATTCCAAATCATCCCCAGACCATGGTCTGTCTGTTGTGTGCACTGCATGAAGCTGTGGTTCTGTGGAAAAAAAAACCTAGTGCAGTCAACTCTCATTTGCAGCAGTAACTGAGAAGAACAACAGCCTCTTACCAGCAACAGTTCTCCTGGGAATGTTGTCTGTGTCATGTATGCAGCTGACACACTATAACAGCAGTAGCCATTTAGGAGCAGATATATACTATATGTGAGCAAATAAATAAAGACTGTATCCTTTTGCATAAATACAAAGACCTGGAATTAAGGTTGATAGGGTAGACAGTTTGTTATGCTAGGGGACCACAGGCATGAAAGCAAGCCTAACTCTCTTCTTGAAGGCTGCTCCCATCCAAGCTGCCCTGCTCCATCTTCCTGCACTGGGTCCTGCCTGCTGGGCCACAGAGGCAACTCCTGCACGGTGCCAGTCTGGCCAGTAGGGCCATACGAAATTTCACCGGCCATTTCGTTTCGACGCTGTTTCAACTCATTTCAAGGTTGAAACAGCAAAACTGAAGAGAAACAAAGTGCGTCGAAATTGCCTCAAAACAAAATGAGGCTAGTCGAAATGTTTTGGAAGTCGAAATGTTTCAACCATAGTGCTGGGGATGGGAAGTCAGTCCAGCTGCGCTGACTTCTTATCCCTGGTGCTAGATCGTGCCGGGAGTGGGGAGTCAGCCAAGCTGGGTTGCCTCCCCACCTCCCGCCCTAGATCACGCCGGGGCCGGGGAGTCAGCACTCCCCGCCCCCGGCGTGCTGTAGCACCAGGGATGGGGAGGCAGCCCAGCTTGATTTGGAGAGAGCTCTCTTGTTGATTTGGAGAGAGCTTACTCTATGCCTCATTCTCTAGTGTGGCAGTCAAGTATAATCTTAAACAACATAATGCCTGCGTCACTTTGATTTACAAGGAAAGGTAGCACTTAACAAGGGGAAGCAAAAGCCAGTGGCAGTCTTAAGGCAATGTGACAAGCACAATCATGTAGGGTCCTGTGAACCTAGAAGCTTTGTGTTATGTCTACAAGTCTGGCCTGGCATTTATAACACCAATCTCAATTCTTTATTCACTGTCTCATGATTTTAGCACCAGAAGCCCCATTAGAGATAATATTTCCTACACCTCCTAGCACTTTACCTCATCACTAGTTTCAGCTGTGCTTCTGTGCTCATCCATTCTGTTTTGTAGGCCCAAGGCAAGCTGCAGCCAGAAACAAATTTGTCAGCTGTACGTAGTAGAGTTAGTCACTACAGCTTACAATGAATTGCTCTACTGAAAAAGCTAAGAGCAGGTTTGAACCAGCCAACTAAATTACCGCAGTGCAAAACATACATGGAGTGGGCCAGTCAGAGTGTGAGACCACCTACTTATAGCTGCTAGATATTTTTTTCCCACACCCTGCTGTTAAATAAAGGGTCATTGTTTAACAGCATGTTTACCAGTTGGAATAATATTTCATGCTTATTCAATCAAATAAATTTAACTTTTTCACATACTGTCTTTCTTCCTTCCCTGGGAAACCTTGCAAAAAGACAGGAGGAAAGAGTCATGATAGTCTAACAAAGCTACTGCCCTTGAAAAGAACGATATTGTGAGTTTCTGCTCCAGGTAGAAGCAGGTCCAGTGGTTTCCACTAAATCAAGTTTAACACAGGGAATAAAATGGCTAAGATGCATCAAAATTGAAGTGTAACATAAAGGCTGGTACACCATTTTGGTGGCAACAATTACATTATTTTCTACCTGTGGGGACTACTGGTATTGTAGTTTCATTTACAGGTACAAAAGCTTCCTTTTAATTTGTTTTCATTTTACTATTAAATGAACAAGGAGAGATTCATGCTTACATGCTGTTTTAACTTCTATTTATATTTTGTTTAATTTCAGGGCATGTTCATATCACTGACTTTAACATAGCGACTATAGTAAAAGGATCAGAAAAGGCTTCTTCTATGGCTGGTACTAAGCCCTACATGGGTAAGTTTTAAAGACCACTTTAAATGTAAAATAAAAGCAGATAAAAATATGTCAATGAAGTGTGTCTAAAAAAATATGTCCTGATGGAAATGCATGGTAGCTGTAAGCATCTTGTAATGTATGCTGTGGTGCAACTGGAAATATATTAGCAATGGAGATCATCTTTCAGAAATGGAGAAGCTGGGAAAAGACTTGGTTCTGCAAAAGTTTTAATCAGATTGTTTTGCTTAAGGAAACCCAGGACTCGCTCAGATGTCATTTCATCTCAAGCCTCAAAGGGGCAGATGTACATAACTGGTTATGTTGTTCTTATTTCTATTACTTGGAAAAGAACATGCAATATGAGCTGATATCATTTTAAGCACATGCTAACATACATTGGTAAACTGGGGTTTTATTAAACAACCAAAGAACTTGATGGCTTATGTTTGCCCCATCCAGCCAATTGGTTAAGCACATGACTTAATTATGTGAGTAGCTCTTTGACTCGAATGGTGTTATTTGCATATCTAAAATTAAGAGTGCAGACAGAAGTGCAGCTCCCCACTGTAACTGAAAATGCTTTACAGGAAGCTATTTCAGTTTCAACAATCCACCAGATCAAGCAGAAGTTCACCATTCGTTCAATCAGGGAGGGGAATCTAGCTGCTGACTGTGAGCTTGCAGCCAGTTTCCCCTAGCAATGGCCCCTTCTCCCTGCAAGTCTGCACTGTTTTCAGAATGGGAGGGGGCAAAAGGAGCAGACGGAGCTCATTCTAGGGGTTCCCCAGCTGGCGCTGGAGGATGGGGTGGGTGAATTGGAGCTCCCTCACCCCGGGGGAACGCCAGTATACCTGCCCCACCCTCCAGCAGGGGCTGAAAAAAGCCCAAACCAAACTCCCTCTGCTCCCTTTCCTCTCTTCCATTCTGAAAACAGCAACAGTCTGGGAGGCGGGCAGACACAAGTTACAGAAAACACGACGTTTTGAAACTTCTTCATCTGACCCCCTCATGCAATGAGGGTTCAGATTTTCACCTGATCGGCCATTTTTTTAAATGGTCTGCAGCTGTGCACTTGTGTTTGGTCACAGCTTTAGACCACTTTCTATAGCCAAATTGGGTAAAAAATGTCACTTCTGTCTGCTCTCTAAATGGGAGGCTTAAATCACTGACTGGATTGGAGACTCTGAGTTTATTTTTCATAGCATGCAACATCCAAAAAATGGGAAAACATAATGCAATGGGGACTTTGAGAGAATAATATAAAAGCATAGCACGGATTCAGTAAATGAAAAGTCACTCCAAAAAACAATAAGCAGTTAGCCAGGATTTAGCCTCCTTGCCTAAGCATAGAGGTTCAAAAAGCCGAAGGCAAAATCCATTCAACCTTTGCAGGTCTTTCTAAGCTGCATAGATTGAACTGATAACAAACAGAACTGACGTTCAGTGTTTGTGGGGCCAAGGCAGGCAAAAGCCTGCACTGGCCCAGGTCAGGAGCCTGGGGGTGCTCCT